ATGCAACCTGACATTTCTAGATAATAACTCCCTCGGATGAGGAAAGGGAGTGATACCTGAAAGGTCACAGCCCCCTTACTGTCCCTTTGCACCTCTAGAGATCTCTGCCCACTGCACACAATGATTTTGCTACAAATTTATGAGAATCCTCTCTGCCGGGAATCCTAAGTAATACAGAATTCAGCATACAGTGTATGCTAAGGGTTATTAACTGGGCTCATGATACAGCTTCTTGCATCCAGCTTTGAATAAATCAAGCTCTGTTGTTTATACCAGAACACTAGACTTGCAAGGGAATTTAAAGATTCCTACTCCAAGTCCTATTTTACAAAACATTAAATAAGAACCTTTGTCCAGGGCTACGCCAGAGTAAAGCAGAGTTCAAGGTCAAAAGACAACACATGCTTTTCAAAAGTGAAGCCCATGGACTGGCTTGATAAAAGTAGCATCCACCTAAAGAAGGCCTTTTTCAAATAAACAAGTACATTTGCCAAGATCTTATGGGATCAAATGATGATCAAGTCTGCCATGTTAGGACCATACTTATATTCCAAATCTGAGAGAAAAAAATCAGATTTAGCATGTCCTTCAGAAAAGGTCTAACCACAGATTTCATTAAAATAGAAATATGTGTGGTCGGGCATGGTGGCTTATGCCTGTCATCCCAGCACTTTAGAAAGCTAAGGCAGGCAGATCGCTTGAGGCCAGGAGTTTGAGACCTTGTCTCTACAAAAAAAAAAAGAAATAAAACATGTGGAAGATTAATATTGTTTGAATTTCAATGTCACATTTGTAAAAGCGAATAGATTTGGTTATGAAACAAAAGGGTTCTTTCATACATTCATCTCCCTATACTAACAATGTTCCTCAACCCACGCTTTCTTAATCCATGCCACTGACAATGCCAATTTCTTTGCTGAAAGGCTCTTCCACTTTCTCTACATTATAAAGCTCCGTAAAAACCTTTAAATCCCAGATGAAATGTCAAACCATCCATGAAGCTCTCCAAGATCTTCCCACTGCCCTCACCACTCTCCACATTGAATAGAAAATCTTCCCATTCTAAGCTTCAGTATTTTTTTTCTTTTCTTTTTCTTTTTCTTTTTCTTTTTTTTTATTTGAGACAGAGTCTAGCTCTGTTGCCCAGGCTGGAGTGCAGTAGCACATGTCCGCTCACTGCAAGCTCCACCTGCCAGGTTCACACCGTTCTCTGGCCTCAGTCACCTGCGTAGCTGGGACTACAGGCACCCACCACCATGCCCGGCTAATTTTTTGTAATTTTTTAGTAGAGATGGGGTTTCACCATGTTAGCCAGGATGGTCTTGATCTCCTGACCTCGTGATCCGCCCGCCTCGGCCTCCCAAAGTGCTGGGATTACTAAACTAACTTCTATGTTTTTATATATGCTCTAGCAGATACTTCATTCATTCATTCTTTCAGTGTCTATTTAGGAGATGCCTTCTAAATGCCAAGGTAACTTCTAGGCTCTGGGGAGAAAGCAGTGAACAAACAGGCAAAAATCCCAGATTTCATGGAACTGACTTTCTAGTGGGTGAGGGAGGACAAGAAAAAAACAAAAAAACACTTTTTTTTTTTTTTTGAGACAGGGTCTTTCTCTGTCACCCAGGCTGGAGTACAGTGGCATGATAATGGATCACTGCAAGCCTCAATTTCCCAGGCTCCAGCAATCCTCCTACCTCACAGCCTCCCAAGTAGCTGGAACCAAAAGTGTGCTCTACCACAGCCAGCTAATTTTTGTATTGAGACAGGTGATTTAGTTTGGCTGTGTCCCCATCTTGAATTGTAGTTACCATAATCCCCACGTGTCATGGGAGGGACCCGGGGGGGAGATAATTGAATCATTGGGGTGGTTACCTCCATGCTGTTCTAGTCATAGTGAGTAAGTTCTCATGAGATCTGATTATTTTATAAGGGGCTTTTACCCAACTTTGCTCTGCACTTCTCCGTGCTGCCACCAGGTGAAGAAGGATGTGTTTGCTTCCTCTTCTGCCATGATTGTTAAGTTTCCTGAAACCTCCCCAGCCATGCTGAACTGTGAGTCAATTATACCTCTTTCCTTTGTAAGTTACCCAGTCTTGCGTATGCCTTTACTAGCAGCATGAGAACGGACTAATACAATGGGTTTTCATCATGTTGCCCAGACTGGTCTCAAACTCCTGAGCTAAACGCATCCACTCACCTCAGCCTCCCAAAGTGCCATGATTACAGGCGTGAGCCACTGCACCTGGCCAAAATAAATATACTTTAAACAGAGAAGAAAAATAAAAAGTACTAGGGAAAGAGGTACACTTTAAAATAAGGTAATCAGAAAAGGCCTCACTGAGTGATGCTTAAATAAAGACCTGAAGGAGGTGAGGGAACAAGGTTCCCAAGTGGCTACGGGAGGCTGGGTTTTCAGGAAGGGGCAACGACAAGTGCAAAAGCCCCGAGCCAGGAATATTCCAGGCATATTCAAGTAAAAACAAGAAAGCCCATGCGGTTGGAGTGAAGGACAAGAGATTAGCAGAAGTTTAGAAAAGGAAAGAGCAGGAGGGGCCAGACCATAGAAGACACTGAGAAGTTGGTAAGATTTGTGGTTTGAAGGCACAGAGGAGACTTGTTAGAGCTGCGGTACTAAAGGGAGGGAACTGCAAAAGGGGTTGTTATTGAAAAACTGAATAATTGAAAATGTGATCAGGGAGGGGTTTTTTTACTCAATAACGATAAAGTCTAGCATGTGACCCATAGAGTGTGGGCTGAGGTTGAATAGAGAGCAGTATTATTATAAGGAGGGATAGAGAGAGTGATCTAATCTAATGATGTGAGATTCAAAGTCAGAGGTTTTAAAGAGGAGGGAAAAGCTATCTGAAAGCAGAAGGGAGGATCAAGGAGGGGAACTACGCAGCCTCCAAGCCCAGTGGTAGATCAGGGAGAGGAAATTACCATCATTTGAGAGGGCAGCAGAGGAAGTAACGTTCTTCAAGAGAGGCAGGTTTTACTTAGAATTAAAAGGTGAAGGTACTGTTCAGAAAAAACATTGACCTCAGAAATTTGTGCTAATGAATGACCCAGTTTTTGAAGGCAGAGTGGAAGGGTATGGGGCACTGGAGAGAAGTGGGATGTGGAGTCAAAATACAGGGGTTGGGAACTAATGGTCTGGGCTTCTTGTGAGGACTGGCATGAACAGCGATCACAGGATGGCAGTGGAGAGCAATGAATGATAGCGGGATGAGCAGGAGAAGCATCTTTCCAGAAGCAGTATTCAAGCGCCCCTCTTCACTCATCACCATGGATGCCTGAAGGCACGAGAAAGGCCCGTCTTACTCCAACCACAGCAGAGTCCCTCATCTTGCTCACTCTTGTTCTGTTTAGCATCATATACTGTCTCCTTTTCCATATTAGATCATAAGCTTTGAAGTCAGCAAGAATATTTTTTTATGCTGTTTGAATTCCCCTGTTGATTGCCAGTAATAGACTATCCAATAAATATTTGTTCAAAGAAAAATTGAATACTTCTTACTGGAAGGAAGGGAAGGTTGAAAAAAAACAAACGATTTCCTACTCAGACTTTTCTCTGAGAACTCCTTAAAGTTCCCCAACCTTGAAATTCTTCTGAGTCCAGTCCTAGAAGACCAGGTGCTGCTATAAAACTTGGTGCTTTGTGAGCACCAATAAATGCTTTGGGAGCATCTGCTGATGAAAGACCAGAGATAGCTCTCCTTTCCCAAGCAGTAAGGAATCACAATTCTGCTTATAATAATACTTGCCATCATTGTGGAGGAGGGAATCAACAGCCAAGCCAAAGTGTACTTCTGTATGGACATTTCAACCTACTGTGGTTTTTCTGGAGAATCTGGCCAAATGTAGTGATGATCAAGAAGTGATGTTACTTGGTGATAAGTGACAAGGATGATGGTCTTGCTACACGCAAGGGTTTGGCAATCCTGGAGATCTGTTATCACCAGGTCTGAACCAGCCTCTGCACCATTAAGGAACCAACAAGATATGGGTCTACCAGACAATGTGATAGTGAGGCAGGAAAAGCTCAGAATTTGGAAACAGATCTAGAATCAGACACTTAGAAAGTATGTGACCAAACAGCTGAGTCTCTGCCAGAAGGTGACCACTATCAGCTCTGCCATCTGGCCTTCACCAAGGCAAAGCCACTGAGACTAGACCCACATTTGGTCACAGGGTTCCATATGGAACTCGGTGGGCTTCTGAACTCATCTGTCTGCCCTAAAAATATGGTCCTCTGGCTTTTCAAATGCACAAATATAATCACATCATTCATTTGCTTAAATCCATTTAGTGGCATCCCATTACCCTAAGCCTCAGTCTGAACTCCCTTACCTGCCCCAAAAGGCCCTCAGGATGTAAACACCACCAACTACTCCACCTCATCTCTTAGCTCTTCTTTTACCACTTTCCCTCGTATACTTTATATTCCAACAAACTCAAACTTCTGTCCACTTCTAAAACATTCAACTCCATACTTGCTATTGGCCTGACAGCTTCATAAGTGCTTTTAACCTTCTTCACCCGGCTAACTTTCAGGTCTTAGCTTACATGGCACATCCTCAGGGAAGCGCTCCTTGCCTCTCAGATGGGTTAGGTCTCTCTCTACTGTATGTTGTTTCACACACAGATCTCACATCTCTATAATTACTTGCTCAATGTTTTCTCTCCCCTACTAGACCATTATTTCTACAAGTCAGCTACTGTGGCTGTCTTGGTCACCACTGGCAAAGTCCTGCCCAATGCCTATGACAAACGCAATTAAAAAATTCTTTTTAGTTAGGTGCTTATACTATCCTTCTTAACATGATTGATAAAATGTGAGTGCTACATATCTCAGGCCATTCTAGCTATAAGCTAAGAATCTTTCCTTTACTGTACCCAGAAGAGTATCTTGGACCCACTCAATATCTTTTAAACAAATAAATCCCATAAAATAATATCCCCCAAATTGTTTAATTCAGTAAAATATGAAGTCGAGGCCACCTAAAACACTATATTTTATTTTTAACTTTTCTATTGTTTTGGTCACATGTAAAGAATAAAAATGAAAACAAGACACTACTGTGTCACATCAAGAAATAACTTTATCCAAAAGGAATTCGAATGTAAGATATATTTAGCATCAATTCATATATTAGTAACTTATACATGTATTGTCAAGTATGACATTCATAAAAGCACAAAACAGTTTCTAACACGTTCCACCAAACTTCTGGCATACTTTATGTGTCATTTCCATGACGACCAACCACACATATAGAGACTAGGGGATACTTAGTGAAGACGGCTTTCCAGGAAGTTTATAAAATTGGAAAAAAAAAAAGGCATGTCAAAATACAGCATAAGTAGCAATGGGGCCCTGAATTTACTTTGGAAAGATTGCCTAAGGCACCACTATAATGAACAGTTGTAAATCCCTGATCAGACTTCAAATTTTTCTGGTCTTAAAATGTCAATTTTAACCACAAGGTTAGGTGACTAGATTAGCTGGTATACTATTTCCTCTGTGCCAGCATCTGTAAGAAATATTACATCTATCCTAGACACTGTCACTCCGATATATATTAGTAATAGATCTAATTATATGAAGTGTGAAAGTCAATACGTGTAATTTTTCTTTAAATGCATTTTAAGAACAAATAGCACTTGAATGAATGGTGGCACAACAGAGAAAAGGATTATTTTAATATAAAACAATATTAAATCAGCATGTGATGAGGTTGAGTGCTGAAACTGTGAAAACTGATAATTTAGAAATTGTAAACGCTTTTATTCGAAATTGTAAAAAGGTACCAATTACCCTAGTTTGCTGGAATCACAGTTCTTATGAATAATAGCATCTACTGATGAACATGATATGAATTAAATGTTTTTAAATTTTAAAACAATTTTAAAATAGAATAATTTTGATAAAATCAGAATATAAAATAATGAAGACCAAATCCAATGGACAGTGATTAACTGTTATTTGGATGAAGAAAACCAGGAATGCTCATGACCAGCAGTTCCGAAGTACCTTGTGCAGGTGTCTCAGGGGCTGCTGAGGAGTTGGTTAAGGAGAAGGAGAATACGGCCAGTGACTGGGACCCTGCCTCAGCATCAAACAGATAAGCTCACTTCTGTGTTTTACTGTACATTGAGAATATGTGTAAGTCATTTTTTTTAAAAGGTTTCTTGTGATTAAAAGAGAAAATTCTGAAAACCACAGCAACATATCTATGCTGTTTCCAAGCATACAAAGAGAATTAGAACATCTGAGACAACTATGGCTCCAAACAATCAGAAGAAGGGTTAGTTTTCTTTTCTCCTATTGATAATGTCAAAATGATATGTCATCTATTGAGCCATACTATGGAGTAGCAGGCTACTAGTTAGGCGCCTTCCCCAGTTAACAGCACATATCCAAAGGACAGCTAGTCAAGTGGGAAGGTGGTAGGTAAATGCTCACCTGGGCTAGGCAACCATCACAGCAAGCAGGTCCCCTCTCAGCCTGGCCTTGGCAATGAGCTGCTTCTGAGAAGCCACAGCTGTCTGTGATTGAGAGCTCACTCCCTTGAGGCATTGTAGAGAACAAGAGACATGGGCTGTGGGGCAGCTTTTCAGTAAAACTGAGAGGCACATCAACGTGGCACTGTATGCGTCCACTTAAGGATATATGATAAACATGCAATTTCAAAAGGTAAATTATTAAAGATAATTGGCCAATGTATAGATATGCATAGTTTTTAGCACATAGGCCCTCAATAAAATATTACTGAATCTATTCCAAAAATGTAATGTTCACTAAGTAATACGCTGTAAAAGGTAAAATCAGGAAAAGAAATTCAACTCTTCAAAAAAGAAAAAAAGCACATAAAATCCACCCTATCTTAAAGCAGCAGTTGGAAAAGTTTTCTTTTTTCTTTCCTTTTTCTAAGTTGCAGTAGGTTTTATACCTAATAAAGTCTGTTCTAGACATAGGAAATAGCACATTATTAAATTGTAAAATGCAATTTTAATTAACAGATAACTGGTATCATGAGTTTAAAAATCAGACGAAAATGGCACTTAAAAAAAGGAAAAAATGACTAAGTGGATCTACACAAATCAACGTGTGGGACCTTAGCAAGGAAAGTATAAAATATTTTTTTTAGTAAGTAGTTTTTCATTAGTTAGAAGGAAATGGAATTCTGAATTTCACCTTATATGTTTGGTCCTCTTATCTTTCCTGGATAAAACAGTCCTAACTGTTTTAACAAATCTCAATTAAAGTAATCTAATAATGTAGAATTCAGGACAACCTACCATCTGTGCATCTACAATATCCTGAAAGTCATGCTCAGTTAATGAAAAAAAAAAAAAAAGCCAAATCTGAACATGTTTACAGTTTTCCACAATAAAATAAAATATCTAGAAAGGCAAATACAAATAGTTTACTTACATGAGGTTATTTTTACTTGTTGATTGTACATTTAAAAAACTGAGTATGTGGCTTTTCCTGCTCATTCAGTACTTTTCATAAAGTCCCAAGTTGAGTGCATGCTGTTTTGTAAACCATAGTGTCTAAACTGCAGCAAAAATCAGATGCACAGGAAGGTAATTTTTACCTTGCAGAAAAGCACTGTATACAGAGTGAGGAACAAATTTGATATCATATAATTTAAGGAGCTCTCATAACCAGGTATGGACATTGGCTTATAAAACATATACTGTGAATCAGGCACAGCAACCTGCAAACCACATCATCCCAAGTTTTCCATTCTTCCTATTGAGAAACATTTAAAAACAGCATTTTCATCATATGAAAGTAAACAAAAACAACAACAAAATAAGCTTTCCTCACACTAATTTCTAATTCAAAGAGCTTTACTGCAATTAATGTAAATCACTATCAATCACTGAATTGATTGGGCAGAGATGGACTTGGCACTGTCCCCCTAAAAGAGCCTAGAAAGAATGCTTTAAACAGATATAATCCATAGAGAAAGAGATTTACATCATAAATGCTGGAGGCAAAAAGTACACAGAATGACAGATACATGATTTAGGGTGAGAGATGGCATTGCTCCACATAACACAAAAGAATTCTGTTGAAGTGGTCACTGCTTCTGTTGTTTCGTGGCTGGGTTCTTGGGAGGAAGGAGTTTGTATGTATTGAAGTAGCCCACCACCTGCTGGGGAATCTCTGCCAAGACACACTGAGCAAGTGCTTCTTTTGGAGCCTTGTGAAAAACAAAATCAACGTGACTTTGTTAGCAACTGAATTTTCCTGGCTTTTTCATAAAAGAGACTAGGGATACTTCAGCAGCCACTAAAATGAAGCAATTCTAATTCATAGGCCTGTACCTTTTCTTAGGAACAGTCCATGAAATATGGAATGACCTAACTAGCCAAAGTTACTTATGATTGCTATTACTGTCCCTGCTAACATTTGTCAAGTCCTTTTTTGGTGCCAACATTCTAACATTTGATGATTTTGTTGTTTTATAACTTTTAAATGTGGGTCTTTCATTCACTTTTTTTTTTTCTTTTTTTTTACTTCTTTTTTACAATTGCAGATTCATAGGAAGTTGCAAAAACAATAAGAAAAGGTACCACGTACCCTTCACCCAGATTTCTCCAAAGGTAACATCTTACATAACTACAGCATAGTATCAAAACCAGGCAGCTGACATTGGTACGGTTCATAGAACTTACTCTGATTTATAATTTTACATGTACTCATTTGTGTGTGTTTGTGTGTGTGTGTGTGTGTGTGTGTGTGTGTCTGTATAATTCTATGCAATTTTGTCATCTGGGTAGATCTGTGTAACCATCACTACAATCGAGATACAGAACTTCCCCAACACCAAAAAGATCCCTACCTAACATTACTACTTTATAATCACAACACTCCACTTCCTCCCTTCCCATTGCTGGTGGGAATGTTAAATGATACAGCCACTTTGGAAGAGTTTAACAACTGCTTTAAGAATTACACATGCAACTACTGTATAACCCAGCAACTGTAGTCCTAGGTATTTATCCCAGAGGAATAAAAACTTACGTTTGCATAAAAACCCATGCATAGGCTGGGTGTGGTGGCGCACGCCTGTAATCCCAGCACTTAGGGAGGCCGAGGCAGGAGGATCACTTGAGGTCAAGAGTTTGAGACCAGTCTGGCCAACATGGTGAAACTCTGTCTCTACTAAAAAATAGGGAAAAATAGCCAGGTATAGTGGTGCACACTTGTAATCCCAGCTACTCGGGAGGCTGAGGCATGAGAATCACTTGAATCCAGGAGGTGGAGGTTGCAGTACTGTACTCCAGCCTGGGTGACAGTACTCCACTGTACTCCAGCCTGGGTGACAGAGTGAGACTCTGTCCCAAAACAAAAACAAAACAAAACAAACAACAACAAAAACCCATGTATAAATGTTTATAGTAGCCTTGCGTATGAGAGAGAAAAACAGGCAACAGCCAGATGTCCTTCTGTGGTGAAACAGTTACACAAATGGTGGAGCAGCCATACCATGGAATATGACTTGGCAATAAAAAGGAGTACTTGCAAAAATGTGGTGATTCTCGAGAGTGATGCTGGGTAGAAGAAAAGCCAATCCCAAAAGGTTGCATATTTTATGATTCCATTTATATGACATTCTTGAAATGACAAAATTATAGAAATGAAGAGCATATTAGTAAGTGGTTTCTAAGGGTTAAGGAAGGGCTAGAAGGAGAAAGGAGGGGATGTGGCTATAAAAGGGCAACAAGAGGGATCCTTGTGATGCATCTTGATTATACCACTGTAAGTATCCTGGTTGTGATTCTGTATTATAGCTTTGCAATATGTTACCGCTGAAGTAAACTGGGTAAAATAGTCTTCTAAGAGATATTCATCAAACTAAACTTCCAGCTTGAGGGGGATTTGGCGTACACTTATATAAGAGTTTTTTCCAGCTGTTACAAAGGTAAAGATAAAATAATTGAGACAGTTGCAATACTATTTTAAAACGATTTATCATATAGCCTGTAAGATGCACATAATGTACATCCTGAAGCAACACTGCCAAACCAAATCAGAGCTCTCCAATGGACAAAGGACAGTGTTCACATGTCCTCTAACCCTACACACCTACTCAACTGCCTGGTTGTAGATGGGCAAAGGTCTGTGTTCAGTCACTTTAGTGTTTGAGTAGGGAGGAGTGGTACTCACATTCTGGAACTGTCTGAAAGGCACAAACTGGACAATATCTCTGATGGCCACTTCGCCTGATGGGGAGCGGAGACTTCCACCATCACCATCCAGAAACTCCATGGCGCTAAAGTCAGCACCTCCAACTCCAACAATGATGATGGACATAGGCAGCCTGGAGGCATTAACTATGGCTTGTCTGGTTTCATCAAGGTCTGTGATCACACCATCAGTAATAATCAAAAGCACAAAATATTGCTGCCAGAAAAAGAAAACATGTCCACTGAGCAAGTCAAGCAATGGCTAATGGCATCTCTGCCTTGATGAGTCATCCCGTCTTTCTTGTTCATTTTCCTGCCAGTCTCTACCCTGGCTACCACTACGTAAAATATTCTAAGCTCCTCTGATGACAAGGAAATTGACTCTTAACAAAAACTGCAGGTTCATTAAAAGTGCAGCAGACCACAAAATAGGGTTGGCAAAATATATGGAAGCAAGACATCTAAATGTCAAAGATTAACCTTTCAGTCAGGCTAGGAATAACAGTTTAACTCAAGTATTAAATATGTCAAGGAGGCAAGTGGAAAACTTCATTCTCAGAAGAGCAAATAAATATAAAAATATTAGAATTAGAATACAAAAATTTTACAAACTAAAATACAAAAAAAAAAAAAAAATAGATATGGTTTAAGTGATGAAATCATCCCCCAGATTGTGTCGCCCAAGATAAACCTTTTCAGAGAGCAGTAAAATGTTACATCAAGTAGTGACTCCATCTTTTGGGCCATTTAAGTCTAGAATAGGAATAAGATTTACAATATTAGCTAACATGTGTTGAGTGTTTACTCTGACCCAGGCATTGTGCACTTTATATGAATTATCTTATCTAACCTTTTCAACAACAGTATGAGGTAGTTTCCCCTAACTTACTTCTGAATATGCTGAAGCTCAGAGAGATTTGGTATCCACGGTCCAATAGGTAATGGTTAGCTCATTCAGATATCTTTAGTACAATAAGAAATCTTGTAACAGCATCTGATGTGGTAAGTTTCCTTAAGCCTTAATTTGTTATGTCTACTTCAAAAAGGTAGATGATATGCAATTTTTTTGGTAGAACCTATCTATGGAAGTTAGTTCAAAGGATAAAAGACTCATGAATGCCAAGTGTTGTTTTGCTGTTGCCTTATTTTTAACAATCACTAGTATAACCACAACAAAAGTTACTCGCAAATCAAGAGTGACTGTGCTATTGTATCTTGCCCTGACTTTGTATTATGACAAACCAAAAAAATAGAAAAATGGCACCAGGAGCTGCTACCAATCCACATTCTTCCCTTTCCCTGGCCATAGAGCACTTACAGAAGCTGTCTGCTGTTGTGTGGCTGCAGCAGCAAACCTGGCCACATGATTGATGATTGGAGAAAAATTAGTTGGTCCATAGAGTTTTATCTGAGGAAGACAAGACCGATATGCCTCTACAATGCCTTGGATTCCTAGAACAAAAAAAACAGTATTAAAAATTCTCAAGCACAATGTGTTTATTCTGGCTAATTTGATTATATATATCAACATATAGTACTTTAAACAGTCAAAAGTTCTATATGCAGGAGTTCCTCTAAGCTATGTATTACATAACTCCATAGGTATGCTCCATTGCAAAAACCTATAAGTTCTGTCCTCCCCCAGTAGAAGGGATTTACTTTCATCTCAGTCAAGTTACTCATTAGTCTACAGTAGGACTGTTACATTTGTGCTTAATTTTAATACATGTTGGGAATGTGACTCTGATAGAAAACCATGAAAAAGGTTCCACTTCATACAACGGATGATAAAAGGTAAGAAAGTTATTAATAAAATGAAAAATCATTTGCATATGTGGCCAGAGGTTCTACAAAAATACCAGATGGCAATAAAACTAATATTAATTCTAGTCAATTACTGATACAAGTGTTTATTCAATAAGTTAAAGGTTAATCATTGTATCACAGACTGCATTAGTTCCAAATATTCACTTCCAAGTTATTTATCCATTTTGCTGCAGAAGCACTGATGTGTTTGTTTAGGGGTACTGCCCCTAAACCTGCTGGCACATTTTATAACAGAAAGTTGGACAGGACCATTTGATTAATTTTGACCAATGCATGTGACACCCATGCCTAAGCAGATGTCTTAAGAACTACTGCCTGTTTTTTCCAGCTCTCTTGCTCCTTTCCTTGCCATAGGAGCAGCACATCCCAGATAAGGCTGTTCCTTCAGCCTGAGTCCCAGTATAAGAAACATGGAGAGAACTACAGCCTAGCTGCATGTAAAATGAGCAAGAAATAAACTGTTGTCATTAAAGCCACTGAGATTTAGAGATTGTTTATCACAATAGCACAGCCCAGTGAAAGTTGACTGACATTGCTGGTCAAAGCACTGCTGATGAAACTTGTATCCCACACATGCACCTGTTGAATCTGCCCTTAATATCAGAGCATTTAGGATGCAGATAGGATAACAGAAATTCTAAAGAATTTCCAACAATATATGCTGAGATCATCACAGATACTTGCCACAAAAAAAAACTTAATGTAAATCAAAACAGGTCTCTTGCTTTTAAAATGTCCAATAGAACACAGATCAACAAAAAAGAGAAGCATATACAGTCATGTGTCACTTACCAATGGGGATAAATTCTGAAAAATGCATCGTTAGGTGATTTCATCATCGTGTGAACATCATAAGATTATACTTACACAAACCTAGATGGTATAGCCTACTACATACCTAGGCTATATGGTATAGCCTATTGCTCCTAGGTTAAAAACCTGTACTGCATATTGCTATACTGAATAATGTAGGGAATTATAGCAACTGTACCTTTTCTATGTCTTTACAATAAAAATACAATATTAAAATCTTACGGGCCTACTATCACACATGTGGTCTGTCATTGACTAAAATGTCACTTTTAGTGCATGACCATACTTGGCTTGAAAGCTTCATGAAACCAACTCTCTCCTCTTAAAATGTAAGAGTTCCAATAAACTCCTCTTATTTTATTTGAATTTAGGAACAGGTAGTCTTATGAACAACCTTTGAGAATGTAACTAATTCATATGCAGAGGTGATTTTACATGCATAAGGTACATGTAACTAGTAGTCAATTCAGTAGTAACAAAGGCATAAATAATTCATTTAGGGCTGGGCATGGTGGCTCGTGCCTATAATCCCAGCACTTTGGGAGGCCGAGGCAGGTGGATCGCATGAGGTCAGTAGTTCTAGACCAGCATGGCCAACATGGTGAAACCCTGTCTCTACTAAAAATACAAAAATTAGCCGAGCGTGGTGGCAGGCGCCTGTAATCCCAACTACTCCGGGGGGCCACAGCAGGAGAATCGCTTGAACCCGGGGGGTGGAGGTTGCAGTGAGCCAAGATCATACTATCACACTCCAGCCTGGGGGACAAGAGCGAGACTTCATCTCAAAAAAAAAAAACAAAAACAAAAATAAAAACAAAAATGTAATTTCTTCACAAGTATCAAGAGCCTTCAATTCCTTAATTAAAACTGAATTATGCCAAAAACCCTTTCTATGCATCAAAGTAACAAGTTATTTCTAAGGTATATTATTTCTAAGGCAATTAGGTTCAATGATTAGTTAGGAAAAGGGGATTAAACTTCCTTGACTTAAAATCAGGCTCTGAGCTTTTTGCTGTATAGTATCTCCTTCGTTTAAAACCAAACTGATCTTTTTCCAGAGTGTAAACCACTTGGTGAGTAATGGGCTTACATTACTCACAGAATGACTGAACTTCTAAAATGAATTATCATATGATATGTCATCCATATTCATTTACAATAAATGAAAGCTAATTACAACAAATTCTAAAAATTATTCCACTTTCATTATAAAAATGAAGCATATTTCTTTTTTTTTTTTTGAGACGGAGTCTCGCTCTGTCGCATAGGCTGGAGTGCAGTGGCCGGATCTCAGCTCACTGCAAGCTCCGCCTCCCAGGTTCACGCCATTCTCCTGCCTCAGCCTCCCGAGTAGCTGCGACTACAGGCGCCCGCCACCTCACCTGGCTAGTTTTTTGTATTTTTTAGTAGAGACGGGGTTTCACCGTGTTAGCCAGGATGGTCTCGATCTCCTGACCTCCTGATCCGCCCGTCTCGGCCTCCCAAAGTACTGGGATTACAGGCTTGAGCCACCGCGCCTGGCCGCATATTTCTTAAAAAGAATGACATTCCCAGTTTCAAATGGCTAGGGAATAAAAGAGGTCACAACCAGTCACTGAAAGTGCCTCAAAGGAACACTGAATTAGTATGGAAAAAGTGTTCTGGGGAAAAGAACAAAACCATATTGCAAACTGCCCCCACAAAAATTGTTCACACTCTTCCACCTTATGAATATTGTTTAGGAAGAAAAGAAAAAAACACTTTCTTCTGTTAGAAAGCTATACATTTGTAATTGTCAAAAGGACCCTTTGCAGAGAATTAGCTTATTGTCTAGAATTTTAAATTATGCCTCTTGCTCCCACACCTACTTTCCCTTTTCCAAACTCTTTAGTCTCATACATAATTTAGTGGAAGAGCTGGCATTTCTGATTGATTGCTCAATGTGGTAAAAAAAAAAAGAAGCAGCACTTGGATACTTGAGGTATAAGGAAAAAAGTAAAACATGGCTGGGCATGGTGGCTCATGCCTCTAATCCCAGTACTTTGGGAGGCCAAGGCAGAAGGCAGGAAGATAGCTTAAGGTCAGGAGTTCAAGACCAGCCTGGCTAACATAGTGAGACCCTGTCTCTATTTTTTTAAACAGATAAAAGAAAAACGTGAAATGAAAGACAACTATGTGCCTCCTGCTCTCTACACAGAGGAAAGCTGCTATAGAAGCTCAATTCTTTGTTCCTTTTGCCCATCCCAGCTACTTACAGAATACTGTGTGAGCAACAAGTATTAGATGCTGGATACTTTTCTCTTTGTTGAGAGTGACTACTACTCTGAAAAAAGCTTCAAAAGATCTGTATATTAAATTACTTATTTTATTGAAGGTTTGCTTTTAAATAAATTTACATGTGAAAATACTTTTTAATATATGATTATTTTTACTGATCTGCTCCAAAGATTGAGAATTTTTTTGTCCCACTAAAGTTCTTAAGGTAGGAGGATTTAGCTTACCACCTCCATCATCATAATACTGATTTGCCCCATAATTACCATTACCACCCTAACCACCAACCTGGTGCAATTCTTCTACCTTATACAACAGAAAGTTAAATATGTAAGAAAATGAAACCTAGAGATGAAATTTGAGTAGTTTTCATCACAAGAAAAAAAACAAAGAACAAAGAACAAAGTAACAAAGACTAGTGAGACTTTCCATTTGAATTCTTCATGTTTATTTTTTAACTTACCATTGCAGTAGGGATTGGATGAGTTGAAGTTCATTGGAAATTCATGCGATACCTGTCAAAGATGGACAAAGGACTGATGAGGGCTGGGTTGCTTTTCTAGGAGGGAAAGCTTTAAAAATGAGATTTCCTCTTACCTGCCACTGAGGAGGTATCTGAGCTCCAAAACCAAAAGCTGGAAACATCTTATCACTAAAAAGAAAAAAAAAAATTAATAAAATATTGTTTTTCCAAAATAAAAAAGCTTTATCTTTGCTCACAATAAAATCAATATGAGCTCATTTCAAAAATAATTTTTCAAAATCTTAGAAAAGTATGAAGATAAAACAAAGATTACCTATATTAACTGCCAAAGAGAATCAACGTTAATATTTGACAACTCTCATCCTAAATATTTTTCTGTGCACTGAGGAAGAAAAATGTTTCTCTCTATAGATTTTGTAGAAATGGAGTTTACATGCATGTTTTATAACCTACTGTGTTCTACTTAAATCTTGTAGGTCATTTCAGTGATCAAATGGGTAAATAAATACACGAAGCCCTGAAAACCACAATTCTTTTTTTTACTAATTTAAAGCAAACTCATTTGGTAGCACAACTTGACCTCAGATGATCAGAGGATATTGGTAGCTTTTGTTTATGCCACTTAATACAAACATTCATACATTAGGGAGAGGGACAGTGGACCGAATATATACATCACGTGAATAGCCACTGAGTATAGATACCCTCCATACAATATGCCACAATATGGATATCCTCCCCCAGATGCCTGATAGCCAATGTTCTGCCATTATAAAACACCATAATGAACATATTTTTTTCTATGAGGAATATTATTTTCATATTTATTCTTAACAGTTAGTTTTGCATTGAAGATGTAGCCTATGCCATGTCAGAAATATTTCTCCCAGGCTGAGGTGGGAGGATCACTTGGGCCCAGGAAGTGGAGGTTGCAGTGAACCGTGACTGCACCACTGTACTCTAGTCTGGGTGACAGAGCAAGACTCTCTCTCAAAAGAAAGAAAGATACATTTTTCCCCAGTTTGTAGCCTGTCTTCAACTTTGTTTAAAGCATCTTTCTTTTCATAGTTTTTAATATTAATGAATGTGAACACAAAAAAGGTTTCATGATTTTTGCTTTTGCTCTCTTGCTTAAAGGTTTTCCTCACTACAAGATTATAAACAATTCACATATATTTTCTTCTAGAACTTTAAAGTTTGCTTTTGATATTAAACTTCTAATTCATCTGGAAAGTGTTTTGAAGTGGATATGAAGCAGAAATTGCTGCTCCCCAGCAATATCCATTCTCTCCTTTAATAATAGAACACCTGAGCTAGACATTGCACCTCCTAGCTTCTCTGGGCTGGATGTGATCAGGTGGCTGGAATCTAGAGACGGAGATGTGAGACAGAAGTGATTTGCCAGCCACTTCTGAATCATACTCCTAAAAGGGAAGGCACATGCACCCCCTGGTCCCTTTCTTCTCTTCCTACTGGCTGCAGAAGATGAGAACCAGAGCTATGGACCCAGAGAGGGAAGCTGTGAATTGAGAATAGCAGAACTCTCCTATCAGTTCTTAAGTATTATACTTACCCCTAGACATGTAACGTGAAATAAACCTCTATTTTGTCAAAGTCACTTTGTTTTTGGGTGTCCATTTCAGCAGTTTGGTCTGTACTCTAATTTATACAGAATAATATCCTAAAACATGCAAGTATGAGTCAGGAATCCAAATTTAATTCTTGTCCAGTTTGAGAGCTTTTACAACTCCTTCCCCTAAATTCATTTATACACATGGGTCTATTTCTGGACTGTTTGCTTGGTTCCACTGGTCATGTCCTAATTCCATACTTGTAATTAAGATAACTGCAAGAATACTTTTAATATCTGCTAGTGAGAAATTATTAATTTTTTAATTCTGTGTTATATCTGACCACCTTTCTAAGCTCTCACTACTTTCTAATAAAGTAACTTTCTATATATGTTAAATATATTTAATGATTTTTGCCTTAAAACTTACTAGCCTGAAATTGGAACTGCCACCTTGCTTTAGATTTCTTTGCATGTGCCTACAAATTTCACCTCTTTAAATGCTACAGATTAATTAAAAGCCCCATCAATATGAAAATAAAATAATAATAGACAAAAACAAAAGAAACTTTATTTTGTACTCTTAAGACAACCAGGAAAAACACTACTAATGCAGATGTTTTCCATATTGTTCAGTAAACCCTCAAGAGGACCTATTTAAATCTATTCAAAACCTAACCATCGATAACCATTCAGAATATTTCATAGCAATTAGATCTAGTTATCCTTCAGCACTTGTTAAAAGTCACCATTAAAAAAATAATTTGACAACTGCCAAGGAGATAGATATGTTAAGAAATAGTTTTTGTGTTTATAAAACATGTCTTCTGGGCTTCAATCACTCATACAACTTATGCCTAATGAATAAGCCCCAAGGAAACCAGACTAAAGAAACAAGAGCCTTGCTGACATTAGTCAGGAAGTAAATAGCAAACTATATGTACTATAAAGCAAAGTACACACAATATATCATAACTAATCACAGCAAGATATTAGAGATCTAAGGTAAACAGCAAGATTGCCACAAAGAGAAAAATAGAAGACAAGACGGGGGGATTTTAGGGAGAAAGCATTATCGTCCTACCACCTATAGCAGAGTACTAGCCGACGAAACAAACTACCCTTTCTGGGGAATTGTGGAAACATGTATTTTAGTTTTTCCAAAGTCATACTCACGCATCATAATCTTGAATGACCAGTCCCACAGACCAGAGAGCAGTCAAATACTCATTAACGCCATTGGGGCTGATGTAATGAAGGGAGTCTGGAGACCTTGGGTCACCATTGGAGCCAGTGAAGTCCACTCCCACCTGCCAAATAACAATTGCAGCCCTTACTGAGGAGAAGGCAGGGACACCTGTGCTTGATGTCCGGGAAAACTTCAAGAGATGGGATACAATCATGCATCCTGGCGCCGACTTCCTAACAAATGTCTACCACTTATTTCCATAGAAAATGAAACAAGTAAAGCCTAAATGTGAAACAACCTGATGCCTCTACTTTTCTAGATGGCTTAAATAATGAATTACTATATCCACTACTTAGGCTTAGGGGTTGCCTTTTATAAGGTTGTCTCACTAATGCTTTCTAGTCCTTAAATTACTTCAGGATAACCACTGGTTTGTAGGTTTGTACACATCTGCTTTCTCTCAGGAGAAAGAGATCTCACCAACAAAGCAGAGAGCTTCACGATGGATGAGTCCAGACAACCTGCCTGAGGACTCTAAGAAGACTATGCTAAATAGATTGTGAAAATTTCATTACAAAGTCAGTTTTGCAGTGAAGAAAATATACTGCAACATGGAGGAAAAAGCCTATGCTGAAAAATTCAGTGTGTTACTTACGGTAAAATTCAGCTGACATCCTCCCATTATATAGTCAAGGAATGTGCATTCCACTGTAATCTAATAATAAGAGAAAACTGTTAAAATTACAACTCTCCTACTATACAAGAGAAGCAAAAAACTCTTTGGCATATATTTTTAAAAGTCTGTAAACTGAACAGGACATAATATAAACATGGAAATTACCCTGCATTCAGGTTTAAGATATCCCTTCCCCTATGTGCCATGAACCTGTAAGATTTTACTTCAAGATACTTACAGCAATGTTAAGATGAGAATATTAATGGCCGAAGATGAAATATACTAATTTTAAGTTTTAAGATATTAGTAATGAATCCAATATGTTGAGGGCTTTAATAAGCATAGCAGTCAACATTTAAAAAACAAAAACTCCACTCCACTTGTTCAACCTAAGAAATCTTGGCTTTTCCCCTCTACTCATAACATTTTCTATTGAAATTAAGAAGAGGATAAATGCATTGGGTCAGGTCATCTCCACTAAAGAGCTGAGAAAATACTATGCTTCTTTATATTTCCTAAGATAATGAAAAACTTATCCTTGTCCTTTGCAAATAACTTGTCAAACCTTAGAAACAGGTTACTTGATTTTTTTTCCTCTTCCCTACTTGATTCTTTTTGCTAAAGGTGACCAGATGCTCATGTGATTTTCAACTGCCTGAAATTCAAGTATTTGTTTAATATAAATCATACTAACAGGAGAACTTGAAATATGATCTCATTATATTATAAGTAGCCAAGGCTTGGGTTGGGCGCAGTGACTCACGCCTGTAATCCCAGCACTTTGGGAAGCCAAGGCGAGTGGATCATGAGGTCAGGAGTTCAAGACCAGCCTGGCCAACATGGTGAAACCTCGTTTCTACAAAAAATACAGTGTCGTGGTGGGTGTCTGTAATCCCAGCTACCTGGGAGGCTGAGGCAGAGAATTGCTTGAACCCGGGAGGCGGAGGTTGCAGTGAGCCGAGATTGTGCCACTGCACTGCAGCCTGGGCAATAGAGTGAGACTCCAGCTCAAAAATAAATAAATAAATAAAAATAAGTAGCCAAGGCCAACTGACCTCACACTGTTTGACACTGATAACACCTGAATTCTTGTAGCTTTTTTTCTTTTGCCTTTTTTTCTCATTTATGCATTCAAATTCAACCTGTAGGAAGAGAAGACAAAAATGTTACTTTTTATTAGCAATATTAGAAATGCCAGTGTGACCTTAAGTGAATGACTTTTTTCCCTTTAGAATCAAACTACTACTGATATAGGTCTGTTGCAAAATATAACTCTGAAACAATTACATAATATGTTAAATATGTGGAATATTTGTCAGGTAAATTTCTAACAATTAAGACATTCCTAAAATTGCATACCTTTCAAAATAGTTCCCCCAAATAAATTTTACCTCTGCAGGTAATTTTCTTGCAAATGTTCCGAGGCATAATCTTTTCTCTTTGCTGTATATTTTACCATAGAGTTGGGCTCTATGGTATAATATGGTATAGTAAAGGAAATAAAATATTACTCCTAGCTGTTACCAACATAAAGAATGAAAATATGCTGCAAAGGAAAGAAAAAAAAGAGTAACATCATAAAACAAATATATGAAGCCCAACTCTATGGTAAAATATGCAGCAAAGATCTTCTCTTTCCACTGGGAATACATGTTAAAAATTGATCTAACACCTCCTCTTGCTTTATATTTCCTTCTCCCAAAAGAATGATCTTCCTTCCCCCATCCTATCTCCCTATCCATCTTGAGGGCTTGGCTCAAGTTGTTCTCCTCTATAACTTCCACTACTCCTCTAGTCTTCTCTGATCTCTATCTCTTTAAATTTCTACAACTCTGTGTTATTCTCAAGTGTCTCATTTAATTTTTTTCTTCACAGTTATGTTATAATCACCTCCAAGTTATACCTTCAAATTCTCACTGGCTTGCCTAATAATAATATAAGACATATTCAATAAATACTTGATAAGTCACCTCTTCTGGTTAACACAAAGCCACTTATGTACTTCAGACAGTCATTACTAGTTTTCCAAGAATCAAACACTAAAAAATACATGTGGTAAAATACAACAATGTAAAACAAAATTATGTTAAACATTATTTGATGGTTCAGGATCTTGTTGGAGTCTCAGTCACAATCATAAGTATTAATTATTGAGTATTAGAAATTAAAAAAAGGAAAAACAATTAAAAAATTATTGTATATTAGAGCTACAGAAATTCCACAAACTGAATTCTTATTGAAAAAGGGCTAGATTACTTCACTTATTCATTTATACCTTCAGGCTCAATAAGTGCTCTTTGGTCCTGCTGAAGCCTGTGCTTAATGACTCTCAGGCCTGCCCCCAGCTTTCAGTATTTCCTAGTCTATTTGAGAGGGGCAGGGTCATTCTTCTATAGCACTAGACAAGCGCACTGGGGCCAACTGCCCTGCATTAGCTGCTGGATGGAACTGCCGGCCATGGAAATCAATGCCTACTTTTAAAGCTGATATTGCTCTGTCTCTTCTCTCTGTGAGTCAAGTGTGGTTCCCTCTAGTGCTTGCCTGCATTGTGTTTGCCTTGACTCCAATACCATGATACAATGGGCAAAAGGTTTGGACTTCTATTCCTAGTGACTGACATTGTGATCATCTTTGCTGTCCTCCATGTAGTTGGAGTCCTCATCTGGCATTAGTAACTGTTATGTGGTGTTCTGCTCAATAAAATTCATACCCCAAGTATGAATTGTGGATTATGTGATTACTAAACATTTCGGGGCATTATGCAATATAGAGTGAAAGCATAGTAAACCATTTGATGCTGTGGGAAAAAAATGAAATACAGTAATAAATACACAGTCCAACTATAAAGTATATGAAAATGCACAGATGTAACTTACAGGTGAGCTTCTGGAGGCTTCTTTCAGTTTTGTCATGGTGGTTTGAAAGGTTCCAATGAGATCATGTGACCCATCATTGTCATAATCATAACACGCCACCTGAAATTAAATATAATAAAAATATATAAAAATCAATTAAAAAGTATTGGCTGTGATAAATACAATCTATCACGAAGTGCCCTTTTAATTATAGTAAATGAAAATATGGAATATGCAGTCCCTGCTTGGGAAAGTAGGAATTCATATCCTAGAGAAGCAATATTGAAACACTTTCAAACCCCAGCTATCCTTGGAATGGGGATCTAAATAGATCTAAAACCACAGGCAGATGAAAAACACAAATACTGTTTCAATTCCACATTAAGCAGTTTCCAGCTCCTCTATCATGCCTTCTATAAGTGCTGATAAAGGGCAAAAAGGAGGTATACCTTCTTTCTCATCCACTTCTTTGCCTTATTACTATGCAATAGCTAAAAGCCATTATCTGGAGAAGGAAAGGAAGTTAACATTCTAGAAAGCTAAAATTTATATAATTAAATCCTAGATAATTTAGAATTATGAAAAATATATTTCATTAGCTGCAGTTTGGTAAGGTTAGGCTTATATTAGAAGTTACATATGATGAAACCAGATTTGCATCATTGTGAAGATCACAACTCTTACAATGAAAAGAACAATTCCAGGCTAAGAGTACTTAGTCCACTGAGGAAGTATCTATACCGGGTCATATTTACTCTATTTCCATGTGAGACAGGGTGAGTTCTAGTCTTAGATCTGGCTCTGATTAAATGCTTTCTCTCTCTGAAAGGAGACAGAAGAGAGGTGAGAGTATTTGAGTTGCATGTAATTTCGTGACAGGTTGACAGAGCAGTCAGAGTAAATATTCACCAGCATACTAGAATATTATTTGCAATGGGAAAAATTAGGTGGCATGAACTACTAGCAAGCAGAAGTGTTCAAGAGAAGCTGAAAACTGACCATGATTGTGAACATTTAACACCAATGTTTTTATAGTATTTTATTTCAAAACAGATTATTTCATTTCTGCAAACATTTATTATATACACTGTGCACATTCTGTAAATAGTCTTGTGAGGTAGACAGAGTTGGAATCTTGTTACTATGATGCCCATTTTGCAGAACTAAAACTTAGAGGAATTAAATAGTCTTAGAAGATGGTATGCCTTGTGTGGTAACCAACACAGGTAAAGTAAAGCTGTGCTAAGGACACTTTGAAATCTTAGAACCTATACTTTTAAAAAAAAACTCTTAAGAAGCAATTTGTATTTACCATCAGCCAATAGAGAGTTTTATCTTGCTAATATCCTTCTCAAACTTAACTGCCAAGCTAAAATGTTCAGGATTTTATATGTTTACTTGGCAAAGTGATTATTTTTCCCCTTAGTTCTATGAAATGAATGCTTATCATAACTGGAAGTCTTTCATTCCCTACTTCTATTTTCATTATTCTGCAGGAAGACTACAAATCAATCAATCAAAACAGCCAAGATTGAGAATTTCAATTTTGAGTAATAGAAAAGAATTTTATTTTTTTAAGAAAATGCTTTGCAGGTATTTTGGCCACTGACCAAGTCTGACAGTTTGACTCTTGCCCTACTCAGTATCCAATTTTTAAACCAAAAACCTTTTATATGACTCTTTAATGTGCCAAGAGAAAAGAAATGTAAAAATTTCCATAATTTTTAGAGGAAGTAATATTTAGATAAGGTAGAAAACAAACTATCTTAGTATTTTAATAAGTTCGTGTTTTTTAAACAGACATTTTCAGTTATGGAAAATAGAACCTTGCAGTTTAGACTTGCAATCAGGGAACACCAATTTATATCTAAGACAAGATTAAGCTTTGACAAGGCCAAGATTTTATCTAAGTAAGGATTATGAAGGGCTAAAACGGTTCATATGTTTAGACTATTCGTACGTTAAAATTTCAGGAAATGTAAATAATATTTTTAAACTAAAAGTTTTGATTACTCACTATAATAAATATATAGAAAAAGCTGCCTCTTGTCCCCTTGAAGGCAGACATGATATTTATAATGCTCTCATATGTTCAGATACTGTTTGAGATAAGACGATTTGTGTCATTTAATTTTTCTCTTTTCAAAAATTCAAAGACCAGTACTATTGGCTTTTTAAACAATGGTAGGCATAACAATATATGCATATATACACATGCATATGTATATACAAGTATATAATATATACATGTATTCATATACATTTAATGGATACGTAATATGCATATACACACGCATATATAGTATACATAATAAACATATGTGTAATAAATAAATAAATGTATACATATATACACATGGGCATATGTATATATGAAAGAGAATGCACACACCACACAACACTACATTCAGTAAGGCATTCCCATTTTAGGCAAAGTGGCAGCATGCATGATTATTTCTTGTATTCACTTGATCTTAATGAAAATAATACATGCTAGAATAATAACACACCACAGCAAAGAAACTACTGAGGATTCTGACTCTATTCTCAGCTCTATAATTCTTTACTATCCCTACAAGCAATTTTCAAACAGTAAGAGAATCACAAATGTATGACTTTTCTGATATTGCAAAGAAATGCAGAACTAAATGAAATAAAGTCAGTGATGACATAGCAAACCAAGTTGTGTATAGTTAAAAACAAATAAAAACAAACCAAGAAACTTTTAAGAATGGAAGACATTCATCAGAGAAAGCTCAGAAAATCAATTTACTTACTATAATAAAATAGCCCTGTAAGCATGCCACTGTGAGCAAAAAAGTTTAAAAAACATTGTTTTGTTGTTAACATATCACTACACACAATCAAATAGTCATGGCTTAGACATTTTTCCCCAGATTTACCTGCCGTCTGACATCTAATCATGTTTACTATTTTTAATAGGAAAAGCAAAAGTCTGGATTTGGTATAATGATAAAAAATAATTTTATAGCTAGTTTTCAACTATTTATTTTGGACCTGGATTTTCACTACTGTTTCAAATACCTTACAAATCATATTTAGATTGATTTTTAAAGTTCTTTACAAATTTGAAGCAATTTTTAATGGATCTCAGAAATGAAGCAGTTGGTTTTTTTTTTTTTTTTTTTGAGACAGGGTCTCACTCAGTCACCCAGGCTGGAGTGCAGTGTGAAGCAATCTTGGCTTATTGAGACCTCTGCCTCCCAGGGTCAAGGGATCCTCCCACCTAAGCCTCCCAAGTAGCTGGGACCACAGGTGTGCACCACCATACCCAGCTAATTTTTGTATTTTCTGTAGAGACAGTATTTAGTCATGTTGCCTAGGCTGGTCTCAAACTCCTGAGCTCAGGCAATTCAACTGCCTCAGCCTCCCAAAGTGCTGGGATTATAGGCCTGAGACCACACCCAGCAAAAATGAAGCAGTTTTTCAGTAACGATGGCACCTTTACAAAATTTTCACAAAACTTTCACTTCTGTTCATTTAATTTTTGCTTTTCTGCAATGTAGAAATTCTTAACTCTATTATAAAAGTGAAGAATCCAGGTGAAGTTTCCTACTAATAAGCAAAATAAATAAATAAGTAAATGTGAAGAAGTTTGGTTACCTGCCCAAGATCCCTTAGCCGGTTACAGGACTAAGTCAAATCTTGAACTGTGGTCTGACTCCAAATCTTATACTTATTCCTCATTGCCTTGCCTGCTTTTACCCTATTCATTTTCAAAAAAAGAGAAAGACAAACCAAAAAATCCCTTTGATCTACTGATGTCTGAACATAAAAAAGACTTCTATCTGTAATCATGTAAAGATAATAATTCTAGTACAAAAGTGTTTTTTATGTATATGTATGTAAATATTTTTCATTCTCAACACCACTCCATGAGTTTTCTTTTATTTTTTTACTCTTTTTTCAAATAAATGCCTATGAATAAAAACATTTTAAAAAATACCGAGACATCTGCTATTTGCTGTTCATACTTCACTTCCCTGATACTCTAAAACTAAAGCCTTCTAAAGGCTTTCAATTAATTACTTATCTCATTCTGAAAATAAGGAAGAAAAATGCCATCAACACTCCCCTCCTTTACTAAGGGTAGAAGCAAGCTCTGAGTTCTTAGGGTAACATCTGCTTCTATCTGCAACAGACATACCAAAGGCAAATAATGTAGTTCGAGGTTCCTATTAGCAGAGCAGAGGAATCTTATTAAAAGGAAAAAATATTAAACTGGACATTTGATTTTTTAAAATAAAGAATAAAATAGAAATGACACTGTTTGACTAAGCATTAGGTCAACAGATTAGTCAAACATGCCTACTCCTCAAACTATGCCACTTATCAGAAGACATTTCTATTTTAGTATTATTCTACACACATAAAATTTAACTCTATAGGTGTCTGTTATATCATTTACTTTCTTTAGATACTATCTTATGTATTAATTTTATAAAATAGGTGAACATGTATATATTTACGTATTTTATATATATATAAAATTTCAAATTACCTTAATAGTTTTGTCCATATCTCCGTAACACAAGGAGTTCAGAGAGATCTTAAAAGGCCTCCAAACAGGATTCAAGTTGTTTTTAACAACCTATAAAAATGTGGTTTCAAAGAGCTGTTAGAAAAAATTTCCAGTTCATTAACATTTTGCTCCTGCCCTTCCTAGGTTCTTGCTATACTCTCACCATTCATCCTTCACCTTTTCATCAACTCAACTATTTCCACAAAAAATCTATCTAGAACAATATTATACAACTGTTACATGAAAAATGTAATAAATTGTACAGTTGTGGTACATTCTGAGGAAAGTAGAAAACTATTTGGAAAATACATCTACCTACTACAAGGAGCACTTAGAAACTGCAGAGGATGGCCGGGCGCGGTGGCTCATGCCTGTAATCCCCAAACTTTGGAAGGCCGAGACGGGCAGATCACCTGAGGTCAGGAGTTTGAGACCAGCCTGGCCAACATGGTGAAACCCTGTCTCTACTAAAAAAATTAAAAATTAGCTGGGTGTAGTGGTGCACGCCTATAATCCTAGCTACTCAGGAGGCTGAGGCAGGAGAATTGCTGGAATCCGGGAGGTGGAGGTTGCAGTGAGTGGAGATCGTGCCACTGCATTCCAGCCTGGGTGACAGAGCAAGACTACATCTCAAAAAAAACAAAACAAAACAAAAAAAAAACTGCAGAGGATTATTGATTTTATTAGCAACCACAGTTTTACTGCAGGGCACAGAAGATTCAAATACGAAATAAGAAAAGGTAATACAGAATAAGAAACTCACTATGTTGGAACTGAATTGGAGAAGTAAGTCCACATCTATAATATAAAATTTTAATACCATATATACTTACATAACAAACAGATAAACACAAATATACAAATTTCTTAGCTTTGTCCACTGAAAAGGCCTAAAAGCAATGATATCCAGTAGCAATGAGCACATTTAGCACTCAGATGTCAGTGTCTAAATACTACTACCGTCCTGCAGAAATAGAGCTTATTAAGAGACAAGCTCATACCAGCTCTGGGACAGAAAAAGTACAAGGAGAACTGAGAACATACTCTAACTTAAGAGAATGCTTAAAGACAAATGAGGTCAAAAAGAAAAACCAAGAGCCATTTTAGAGACTAGGAGCTCTCTCTAGTCAAACTTGGATTAATCTGAGCAGCAAAAATAGAGTAATGAGTTAACACAAAGCATACACTGTTATAACAATCCATGAATTTATAATGATACTAAAAATAAAAGGAAAGAAAGTGAGAGAGAAGAGATGAAAGAGGAACGTCTGCTAATATAAGTAAAAAGGATGAAAGATTTTGAAAAATCACTATTTTACTACCCATAATTCATTAGGCAAGGATCATCAATGGATGCTAAAACCACTGGTTGAAGTGCTAGAGAACAGGTAATTCATGCAGTCTCATAGTTTCACACCACATATCACTTATTAATTAAAAAGGGGGAAAAATGAGACTTTATCATGGTGAGATCTGGTGGTCATCATTTTAACCAAGTAGCCAAGCTTGACATCAATGCTGGGCAGACTGGTACCATGAGCCTCCTGAAAATGTAAAGAAAAGGAACACACATAGTGTTTTTGACAGAAATGTTTGATCTGGATCTAGTTGTGAGGAAACAGAAGAATCCAGAATGTTGGACACTCTGGTCTTGATTTTCAAGATATTCAGTGGCACCAAGGAAGATAGGGAGAAGAGTCCTCTATTGGGAATATAATAGTCAAATCCAAAATATGAGCCTTGACTGGATTCTGAACAAAACAAAGCAAAACAAAATACATATAAAACCTGTGGGACAACCGAGGAAATCTGAAGTTGAATGGTATACCGAATGATGATACATTTAGCTATGTCAAATGTCAATTTTCTCAAGTCTGATTGTATAGAATACCCCTGTTCTTTAAACATACCTGCTGTGGAATTTATTTATTTATTTATTTATTTTGAGGTGGAGTCTCGCTCAGCTGCCCAGGATGGAGTGCAGTGGTGCAATCTCAGCTCACTGCAACTTCTGCCTCCTGGGTTCAAGCAATTCTTGTGCCTCAGCCTCCTGAGTAGCTGGGACCGCAGGCAAGTGCTACCACGCCTGGCTAATTTTTATATTTTTAGTAGAGACGGGATTTCACCATGTTGGCCAGGCTGGTCTCGAGCTCCTGACCTCAAGTGATCCACCCACCTTGGCTTCCCAAAGTGCTGGGATTACAAGCATGAGCCACCACACTTGGCCTGCTGCAGCATTTAAAGATAAGAGTTATTATGTCTGTAGCTCCATTAGGATGATTTTCCAAAAGGAAAATATATGTGTGCATAAGTGTGTGTGTGTGTGTGTGTGTGTGTATGTGAGAGAGAGAGAGAGAGAGACAGAGACAGAGAGGGACAGAAACAGAGACAGACAGCACAAGTGTGTGGGAGTGTGTGTCCATCTGGTGAATCTAGGTGAGGGGTGCAGAGGAATACATTTAGTGTTCTTCATAGGGCTTAAAATTTTTCAACATAAAAATCATAAAGTATGGTAGCACCTCCTCACTGAAAGAAAAAAATGTGAACATGGCTATATGTAAGTCTGAACTTGTATCTCTGGCTATATGTAAGTCTGAACTCAGATTGATATTTTTATAAATATAAGCTTTCTAAAACTCAGATTACAATAATTCCAAAGAACACCTCCACTCTGCTTTTCAAATTCAGATGTTCACCTCTGTCCGATGAACCATTAGCCAGTTTCCATCAGATGTCTGCTTGTGGAATTCCAGGTATGGGTCTGACTTTCCAAATAGATCCTACAATTAAAACAAACAACAAAAAGCATTTGTTCTCCTCTGAACCCATGAAACCATGTGTGACCATACTTTACACATGTTGGCAACCCCCTGAAGTCGAACTCTATAGTACTGGTAGTAAATACACATCTCATCACCTTTCTCCCTAACTTAGCAACTTACTGAAGTCTACTAGGGAGAATTATCAAAGTGCTTGTGATAAATGCTCATAATGCTGTATATCATACCCTGACTTCTCAAAAACATGACGGTTTTAAAATGCAGTGGTCAAATATACCATAACATATGTTTTTGCCTTGTTTTCACCTTTAACCATTTTCATTCACATATCACTGAGTAGTTTTATATAAATGACATCACAAACATTAGCCATACCAACTCTATGGAGACAGGGAAGTTATCAGTGAGAAAATGGATTTAGAGGGGTTAGTGATTTTCCCAAGATCACATATCTAATTAATTAATGGATCCAGGTCTTAACTTCATATCTCACCCTTCTATATCCAAAACCCCTTCACCAATAACACACATTTCTTTGCATGCACAAATGACCAGAGGTAGATACGTGGAACGCATAATAGAAACACTTCAAGGGCACAAACTGCACCTTCCATTTCCTCTGTGATTCACCACAGAACTCCTATACAATGCCCAAGCACACTAAGTGCTCAAAAATACCACTATCACCATCCTCAGTACACACATATTCACCCACATACAGTGAGACAAAATTCGGGGAAAATGGATTAACTCAGGTGGTAAGACTACGGATGCTTTTTTTCTCATTTTCATTTTGAAATTTGCATATTCCTTAACATATATGACTTGTTATTTTTGAAAATGAAAGGACACTTGTTAATCTCACAGGAATATATGCAGATATATCCCTGAGCTGAAGATTTCTTTAGTTCTGAATTAACTTCAGTATTACGTTAAAAACTAAAATAAAATTATTTCTCTCTTGAATACAAAGTTTAATGTCAAGCAAATAAGATATTTGGTACAGTCAAAAATATAAACACAAAGACTTTGTGTTTATATTTAAACACAATAAATAACAGCAACGTAACAGTGAGAAATTAACTTTTCAAAAACACATTAACATGCCCTGTGTGAGTTATCTTAAAAATAATCCTATGGAAAAGGCAGAATATCCTTGTTATCATTTTGAAGGCTAAAAACCAATACTTGTTTGAAGATTCATTAAGTTGTTAGTATTAGAACTAAAACAATAATTAAACTCCCTGGCTCTAATCTCCAGGATATGTTAAGTAAAAGAAGCACGGTGGAGGAAAGTGTACATCTAGCATGCTACGCTTATGTAAGGGCTGGAGGTGGGGAACATAAATACAAATACATACATACACATATACATATGAACACATACACACACACACACACGAGTATATATACACACAGAAAAACCCTTAGATATTTAGGAAACAGAATGATTAAATTATAAAACACAACTTTTTAAAAATTATTATCTGCACGGAGGAAAGTGGAAGCAAGGTAGACAGGGAGAGAAGTTAAATTTCTTAAATACTTTGTTTTGTAGATTTTAGAGCCATGTAAATTTTTTATATGATTATAAAAGAAAATTAAATCAAATGGTTTTTTTAAAAAGCAATCCCTAAATATAAAAAGCAAAATGAAACTAGGACTGTGACAGCATAACCACACAAAAGAATTATTTCTTTAAATCGTAAGAATGTGACTATATAACAAAAGTGGAATATACACACCTTAAAGACAAAAAGAACTTCAAAGAAAGCTCAAACTTTTCAGTAAAAATACTGTTAATAATAATATTTTTATTCTAAAACTATTAATGTCATGTGAGACAAAACAGATAAGCAATTATGTTAATATCTTTAGCAACCAAGAGAAATGAGGTATGAATATAAAATAAGTCCCTGTAATTCTATAAATATTTTTTGTTGTCGTTGTTGTTTTGGAGACTTAACCAAGGCTGGAGTGCAGTGGTACGATCTCAGCTCACTATGACCTCCCCTTCCTGGGTTCAAGCAGTTCTCATGCCTCATCCTCTTGAGTAGTTGGGACTACAGGTACATGCCACCATGATCGGCTAATTTTTGTATTTTCAGTAGAGGCAGGGTTTCACCTTGTTGGCCAGGCTGGTCTTGAACTCCTGACCTCAAGTGTTCTACCCACCACCTCCCAGAGCGCTGGATTACAGGCGTGAGTCACCGTGCCCAGCCAGTAATTCTATATTTGAATTGGAAATAGTTGTGTGATTTCATGATTTAGTTTTTCTTAAATTAAAAAAAAAAGTCTTTTCTGTTGTCCACTGAAAAGCCCTTGAAACCATGAATGACAATAACCCACAACAGTGAGTACCCCTAGCACTGGACTGTGGTCTCTAAATACCAATTCCACCAAAATGAAGTAAGTTTCCTTTTAATCTGCCAGTCTGAGGCAGAAACTAGATAAAATAAGCTTGGAACATGGCTTATTAAAGACAAAAAGAACTTCAGAAAGAAGTTATTTGAAGCTCTTGTCATCCCACAGAGCAAGGAAACTATTCAAAGACTCCTGGAGTTGTGCCAAATGGTCTCAAGCACAAACTTAAACGAATTCCCTCAGGCCAAAGTTGGAATAACTTAAGCATCTATGAGAAGTAATCCATTGCAGTTATTAATATTTAAATCTATTACTTTATAGCAATTCTAAAACAGAACAAAACAAACAAAAAAACTTCACTGGTCACATTTAGGGGATGCTAGGGAACCAACTTAATAATTTTGAAAAATGGCAAATATGAGGGAAAAGTCAAACAGTTTAACTTGTTTTTCCTATATAAACTATACCACAAAGTAAATAAATATCTAAGGCGGGGAAGTTTCTCTCTATAGAAACATTCTTGCAAAGAAACAAAAGCAATGACAGACTGACGATATCACTATTTTACAGATTTTTTTTTTCTTTCTTTCTTTCTTTTTTTTGAGACAGAGCCTTGCTCTGTCGCCAGGCTGGAGTGCAGTGGCACGATCTCGGCTCACTGCAACCTCCGCCTCCCGGGTTCACGCCATTCTCCTGCCTCAGCCTCCCGAGTAGCTGGGACTACAGGCGTCTGCCGCCATGCCCAGCTAATTTTTTGTGTTTTTTAGTAGAGACAGGGTTTCACCATGTTAGCCAGGATGGTCTTGATCTCCTGACCTCGTGATCCATCCACCTCGGACTCCCAAAGTGCTGGGATTACAGGCGTGAGCCACCACGCCTGGCCCAGACTCTTAATAATAAAACCAGGTAGTTATCATCAATGATCACAAACATCCCCAAAACACACAAGTTAGTGTGAGTCTCCTGATGGAATTACATGATGAAACTGTCTTGCCAACAATTAAAAATACCAGCAGATCATACTTCTAGATTCAATTGCCAGGTTACAGAAATCAGAAAGTAAAAGTAGAGAGAGAAACATGTTAAATGACACCTTTAATAAGCCATAGGCAAAATATGGAAAATTCCTTTTTGAAAAAAAAAAAAAAAGATGGAGTCTTGTAATTATAATGCACTACAGCCTCAAACTCCCGGGATCAAGCCATCTTCCTGCCTCAGTCTCCTGAGTAGCTAGGACTACAGGTGTACATTACCTGTGCCCAACTTGAATGTGGAAACTTCTGCAGGACAAAGAAATCAGTTTTCTCCATTGAATAAATTCCACGATGGATGGAAGAATTGATAGAAAGGAAGGAAGGGAGGGAGGAAGGGAAGAAAGAAGTAAAAGAAAGAAAGAAATATATAGATTTAAAAGGACTTAAGACACACTTTAAACAATTACATTTTTTAAAGTGTCTTCAGAGATACATCAACACATTCAGGGATGAAATGATATGAAGTCTGGGAGGAGAGAAAGTAGATGAGGGTAGAGATTGAATGAAATTGGCCATGAGTTATTATTGTGGAAAATGGGTGATGGGAACATGAAATTTTTTAAAAATAGTCTTCCAGTTTTGTGTATATTTAAATTTTTCCACAATTAAACAAAAGAAAAAGTCTCCAGCCTATAGTCTAAAATGTTTTACTTTTTTTTTCTTCTTGAGACAGCGTCTTGCTCCATTACGCACGTGAGAATGTATGATTACTGCTCACTGTAGTTTTGACCTCCTGGGCTCAAGCAATCCTCCTACCTCACATGGGACTACAGGCACATGCCACCACACCCAGCTAATTTTTGCATTTTTTGTAGAGATGGGGTTTCGCCATGTTGCCCAAGCTGGTCTCAAATTTCTAAGCTCAAGTGATCTGCCCACCTCGGCCTCCCAAAGTACTGGGATTACAGGCATGAGCCAACACGCCTAGCCCTAAAATGTTTTCAAATTGAACTGCAAACAATGAAGAATATTGACTAGATTATAGAATTAAGTACAAAAAGCTGGGCTCAGGGGCTCACACCTGTAATCCTAACACTTTGGGAGTATGAAATGGGAGGATTGCTTGAGCCCAGGAGTTCCAGACTAGCCTGGGCAACACAGTGAGACCGTGTCTCTAAAAAATATAGGTAGGTAGGTAGGTAGGTAGGTAGATAGATAGATAGATAGATAGATAGATAGATAAGATAGATAAAAGAATTATAATCCATGCTATATACTAAATTGTTATGTTATTATATATTATATATACTCATCCTTCATAAAAAGAAATTGACCTTTGAATGCAAAGAGGATAATTGACCTATAATTAATAAAGCACAGAGTTTCCACTTTTTTCCTGAAAGTAATTCAACTGTACTCTTTCATGCTTTTACAGTAACATTAATGCTTCTATTCAACTCCTCTCTTAATCTAAACAAATCCTTTGATTACATCTAGATGAAAGAGGTGAAGAGAAATGGGTTCTGCTTAAACATACAACACACACACATGCAAAATTTGGAAGTAACTAGTACCCTATGTGATGCTCAGATGATGAAGTTCATGATATTAACTGCATTTTCATTTTCTTAAAAAACAGGCAAAACATGACAAACTTGCTGAAATCTGCATAGTCTACCCACCTTATTATCCAGTTTTCTGGCTTCCATTTCAAACAAGACCACTCTATTATCTTTTATTTCTTCAGCTGAAATCTATGAGTAGATAAAGTAAGTGCAAGAAAATATGTTTTAGGAATTCTGATAGACACTTAAGCACTGATTTATTCTGTTATCTAATATAAAGCCTACACTAATATAAATGAATTCTAAAATGTTTCATAAGAAAATGGCATCATTAAGAAAGATCTACCATTATTTCTTTTATGTGTGTGAAATAAAGATTTGCCCAAAATATGCCCAGGTCTGCATTAAGCAATGTCTTTTGAAATGTGGTTGCCCAAACTGGATCTTCCCCACTCAAGAGAAATGTCAAAACCCCAGAAGACTGAGAATACCCTCTGCACAACACTGAAGTTCCCTAATACTGAGAAGCATGAATAAATCATACCTAGAAAACTCTATACATTGATATTATCAGATCAATGTTTTTCATCCAATGTAACTGAAAAACTCATTCTACTTAAAAATAAGTATCAGTCTATCATGCCCCACAGCAAGGAAGCTAACTACTGATAATGTCCTCTTTCCCACAAAAATCAAAACCCCGGAACATTCTTACGCCTTTGGAAATCTAAACTATAGCAAAACAGCTCTCAGAGAAATGTATTTGATGATCATGATAGCCTTGAAACATAGCTCTCTCAGGGAACTAGCCTTACATTCTCAGAGGGAGCTAAAGTTAAAATACTATCACTCCAGGCAGCAGTTATCTGTACAGACACTCTAGAAAATAAGGTTTACAGGCTTGGCATTATATAATGGGAAATGTAAAATACAATAATGCATATATTAATTTGCTTGAAGTCAGTAATCAGCAATGAAAAGCCCAGGTGGGAGGATGGGCAGCAGATAGCAAGCACAAAAAATGAAGGTAAAGAGTTTATAGGTTCAATGGCCATGTCATAATATAACATCCCTCTGGAATAAAATCCACTAGGGGAAATTCCTGTCATGTTGAGAGGACTATGTTTCTCCAGTAGAGAACCAAATTGATCCAGATTATTAAGCAGTTTACTTCCACAGAGGAGGGGCAGGTATCACCAAGGTGCACTGGACCTCTTTGGGCAACTTAAAAAAACTGAAAGAAGGGATTACCACATTGCATGTTTCTCCTGATTTGCACAATACATTTTCCGTTTGTGATAACTACAAGACAAGGGGGACGGAATGCAACATTCAAGACTGAGTGGCAAAGCATGGCTGCAGAATATTTGTCTGATATGCACAGTTTCGGCATGTCCTATTATGATAAATCTTTCGAGACAAAAGACAAATATCTTATTTTTACCGTAATGCTCCCTTTCCCTGCAGGTCTGCCATTTTTCAGCACCAGTGGTCGAGTTAGCTTCTTACTGGAAACAATCTGTTAGAATTAGAAAGTGATACAAAGAGTCATTTCCCTTCAACCTATGAATTTTTAAATGAACTAGTTTCAGCAAAAAAGATTGAGTACAAGGTTCACTTAAAGTCATTAGAAATAGAAACATTAAGTTGATTTCTTAAAGATTTAGATCATCTACATATTTAGGGCCAGGCACAGTGGCTGATGCCTGCAATCCCAGCACTTTGGGAGGCCGAGGCAGGCAAATCACCTGAGGTCAGGAGTTCGAGACCAGCCTGGCCTACATAGTGAAACCCCATCTCTACTAAAAATACAAAAATTAGCCAAGCGTGGTGGTGCGTGCCTGCGGTCCCAGCTACTCAGGAGGCAGAGGCAGGAGAATCGCTTGAACCCAGGAGGCAGAGGTTGCAGTGAGCTGAGTTCGCACCATTGCACTCCAGCCTGGGCAACGAGAGCGAGAGTCCATTTCAGGAAAAAAAAAAAAAGAAAAAAAAATCATCTACATATTTAAAACCCATTGGAAAAAACTTCTAAGGAGCCTACCCTGGCAGATACAATCTCCTTACCCACTAGTTTCTTAATCTCCTCTGTATGTCAAAGTTTAAATCATTCCTTGTAATGGAAAAAGAGGACCAGATTCTCATCGCATAAACAAATCACTTAGCTGAAACCTTCTAGGTAAAAGGTGGGCTTCAGAACACTTGATAAATGAGATTCAAGGCCACGTGCAGTGGCTCATGCCTATAATCCCGGCACTTTGGGAGGTTGATGTGGGAGGATTGCTTGAGCCCACAAGTTCAAGCCCAGCCTCAGCAACATGCCAAAACCTGTCTCTACAAAGTAATACAAAAATTAGCCAGGTGCCATGGCGTGTGCTTATAGTCCCAGCTACTTGGGAGGCTGAGGTGGGAGGCTCACTTGAACCCAGGAGGTCAAGGCTGCAGTGAGCTGTGATTGAGCCACTGTACTCCAGCCTGGGTGACTGAGTGAGACCCTGTCTCAAAAAAAAAAACAAAAAAACAAAAAAAGGATTCGATTTTTCTACTGAGACACAACTTCAATATTTAACTCCCATAAAATGTCATATTGCTTGAAGGAATATAGTATACCTAGGTTCTGTCAAACAGATATACCTCTGATATATCTCACAAATTCATAGGAATTTTAGCTACACTGGGATTTTTTCCCCCAAAAAAGAAATACTTCCTTAATTTGTTCTTTGATATTATTTATCAAAGTTCCAGAAAACTGATCAGTTTCATATTGGTTTTGAGATACAGAAAACACCCATAATCTCCAAACAATTCAACCCTGAAAAATAAAGTTGTAAAAGACATATGCGAGTGACAAATGTCACATATTGAAAAAAAATTATTCCTCCCTCCTAAAACCTTCTTCAGTCTATACAAATGGTCATAATCTCTCCTTATGAATCAGATTAAAATAGGAGCAAAATGGTGAGTCACGAGACACGTCCCTACCCTGACCAAACTTGTCATACCGGGAAGACACATAATTAAGCAACTATTAAAAAGTATGATAAGAAGTACTAGACAGTACCAAGTGAGCTCAGGAAAGGATTCCAAACTAATCTAGAGGGTCAGAGAAGGTTTATGGGGGGAATAAGGCTGAGTAAGAGCAAGCCAGGTAAAGTGGGTAGTGTTGGGGCATTGGAAGTCAGGAGGTGCCAGTCTCACTAGTTAGAAGAACAGAGAAGTTGCTGTTATCTTGATAGCATTTATGGCTTGAACATAACAAAACTATAGAGAACTCTGCAGCAGCTAAAGCGTTGGTATTACTTAATGAAATGCCTCATGAAGCCTCCCTTACTCAAAAGAATTAACAGGCTTTTCCATAAATACATAGTTCCTGCCCGTACAAAATATAAGATGAATTCTATAATGTTCAAGCCAAGCATATTAATATATAAACTGTCTTTAAAGTGATTACATGTTTTTCAACTTTAAAAATTAAATGATTCTTACCTAAAACACCAAATTCATTAAAACTTAGACAAAATAGAGTACAGTGGCTATGTATACTTACTTGTCCAAGGGTACATTCACATTCCCCTAAGAAGTCATCATCACTCAGCTCAATAGTTTTGTTGTCGATGTCATAAACCCCAAATTTCAATTTCTGAACCACTTCAAAGTAGTAATCAATAATAAATGTCTTGGAAAATTGGGGATTCAAGCAATTCTTAATCCTTTCTGTGCGCTCAACCTACACCCATCCCCCAAAACAAAAAAGTTTGTTCAGATCAAAGGTGCACTTGGATTTTCACATCTTTATGTACTAAACATAAACACAGGCATGACAACTAAAGGAAGTTTCTATATGTGTATGAAAAATTCTACAATCAAGGGCAAACTTTCACAAAAAACTCCATTAACAGATGAGATAGTGTTATTATTTTTAACATAAAAAAAATAACTCCTTACATTGTTAAAAGGGTAATTCAGATGACTTTTTAAGTAAAGTATTTAACATTACCTCATACCACTGTTGACCACTTGTATTCAAAAATAACACACATAAAGGGTCTGACTTTGACCCTATATCTTTATCCAAAAGATTGGCACAGGAAACATTCAGCGACACCTTTGTGACACACTGGGCAGCCATGTCTTGAGTTCTGAGAAAACCAATAAAAAGAGAAAGCAAGTGAAACAATGCCTTTAAGAAGCACACTCATTCCTAACAAAAACAGGTGACTTCTTAAGATCAATTGTCATAATAAGCTTATAGAGTGAACTTGCTAGAATCCGACCGTTATACGTGCCTCCTTGGGATGTGGGTGTCTATTAGCTCATTACAGTGATATTGCCTCCATCAGATTCTCTTGCTAGGATAAAATTCATTTACTGAATGACAGCAAAATGCAGCTTTTAAGATGGCTAATAAGACATACTAATCTTCTTGGCTGGGCTAACTCAGCCTGTAATCCCAGCACTTTGGGAGGCTGAGGCAGAAGGATGGCTTGAGCTTAGGAATTTGAGACCATCCTGGGCAATACAGCAAGACCTCGTCTCTACTAAAAATAAAAAATTAGCCAGCATGGTGGTGTGTGCCTATAATCCCAGCTACTAGGAAGGCTGAGGCAAGAGGATTGCTTGAACCCAAGAGATTGAGCCTGTAGTGAGCTATAATTGTGCCACTGCATTCCAGCCTGGGCAACAGAGACTCTGTCTAAAAAAAAAAAAGAAAAAACTAATCTTCTTTTTACCTTAACTATAAATTTTATCATTCAGAAAAACTCCAAGTATTATCTTGATCCTTCACTTAAAGGTATGCCTAACATTATACTACAAAACAGATTAAGTTTTATTTTTATTTGTTTATTTAACAAGACACTGAGTGGGATATTTTCTGTTTTCACAGAGTTTTTGGCTAAAACCAAAAACCCCAAAGCCCCCTTTCCCCCCACTCTACCCCCAGCTCCCAATATTTTGCAGCCGTGGTTCTCAATATTGGCTGCTTCCTGGAATCAGCTGGGGGAGCTTTCAAAGCTACTGATGCCGGAGTTCCACTTAAAGAGATTTTAACTAGTTTAGGGTACAACCTTGACATCAGCTCCTTGGATGATTCGAATGTGTAGACAAGGTTGACAAGCCTACTGTTCTACAGAGAGAAGGTGTGGTCCATCTTCCCTTATGACTTGCTAAGAAATATCAGAGTTAGCTTAACTTCCATAGACCCCTCCTTCCCCAGTATCCAATCAAAATATGAAAAGGACTGGGGATAGGGTGGAGCACATGATGGGGGCTGGACTTGAGAAGGAATGCAGTATTGCAGGTGAGCTGCCTTCATCCGTGAACCCAGGGAATGAAAGGGGATGCAGGTGTCACCAAGAAAAGGAACTAGGCATTGCATTTCCCATCTGGATGTCCACTTAGCCAGTGGACGTTGATGGTGCTAGGGCAGGTTCTGCAGGAGAGAAGGTACCTACTACCCTAGAGCTACTGGCAAACATCCTTACAATGGGATAAGATTTAATGCCCTTTGCCCCTCACTTTGAGATTCAGCTGAAGTTCTAGGACCACAGAAACAAATCCGCTCATTATCTTGTTATATTTAAATATGGCAGTAGGATTCCTGTGCTGTATAAAATGCCTAAGCAAATCTGAAATAACAAAGATTACCATTAGAAGAGCCTTTGTAATGTCAAAAACAACTAACGTCTTATAAAAAAAAATTGATAATTCTATTGAACTCTCTAAAAATAGTAGCAGTTCTTAACACATGTCAAAAATCAATACTAAGATTCCTAAATAAATAAAGACTAAGAAAAATGAAGTAGGTTGCATAGTCTTAGAAGTAGCTAGAAATCCCATTTAAAAACAAAGCTGGCCGAGCACCATGGCTCACACCTGTATTCCTAGCAGTTTGGGAGGCCTAGGCAGGTAGACTACTTGAGGTCAGGAGTTCAAGACCAGCCTGGCCAACATGGTGAAACCTCATCTCTACTAAAATACAAAAATTAGCTGGGTGTGGTGGAATGAGCCTGTGATCTTAGCTACTCCGGAGTCTGATACGGTAGGAGGATCGCTTGAGACTGGAAGGCAGAGTATGCAGTGAGCCAAGATCATGCCACTGTACTCCAACCTGGGTGACAGAGCGAGACCCCATCTCAAAAAACAAAAACAAAAACAAAAACAAAACAAAAACAAACAAAATATATACAAGATATATATATTTAAACAGTCCTAGTATACAGTAAGTGCTCACATTTTATCATTATTATTATTTTATCACTATCTGCCTCTAGGGTCTGATCCTTTCTTATCTATCCCATGTTTCTAATTTTTTTATTACTCCATTGCATGATTATCCTGATTATTCCAATCCGTACTAAGGTGTTCCTTTGAATTCCTATTGCACTAATAGTAACAGATTACTGCATTACAGGAACAAGATCAAATTTGGGGTAATGCAACCCCCAGTTTTTTTTTTTTTTGAGACAGAGTCTTGCTCTGTCATCCAGGCTGGAGTGCAGTGGCACAATCTCAGGTCACTGCAACCTCCGCCTCCCAGATTCAAGCAACTCTCTGCCTCAGCCTCCCGAGTAGCTGGGATTACAGGTGCCTGCCACCACGCCCTGTAGAACCCTCCATCTGGCACTTGCTGTGTGACCACGTATAAGTAACTTCAACTCCCTGAGCCTAGATTTCCTCATCAGTAAAAATGGAGATACTGCAAATAAATTTGTAAATCTGGCATGTGCCAGGCATCCTATCTTTTGTATCTAATACAGAATCTGTAAAATAAATGTTAGTTGTATGATTTTTTTTTTTTTTTGCATAATGTAGTTTAGAGTCTTGTAAGTTGTATGTCAGCAGTACCAAGCATAATGCAGTGCCCTGTGGATGAACACAGAATGAGCAATGATTGCTAAAGCTTCCAAAAAAAACATGTAGAGGATTCTCTACCAGCCAGCAGAAAAGTCTTCAAATTTCCAAGGATGGGGAGAATTCAAGAGAGAATGCAGACATCTATGTGTGAAGTCAGTCTCACAGCAAAGAGACACCACATATCAGAAGAGCATTATTTTTTTCCCTAAAAATGCTTATACAAAAGCTACAAAAATAACATGCCAGGCACAGCTGATTATTTAACAAATTGCTGACAGTTACACTACTGCATTGCTGCCAGGAAACAAATTTCCTCTATTAGCAGCATTCCCCTCTGAAAATGACTCTGACTGTGGCCTCAATTTTATCCTGAAACCATTATGGCTGAATGGCAAATGGAAGAAATTACATAAACACCAGGGTCTGGAATCTTGTTAATAGTAATATTCATGAAGATGCTGTTCTCATTTCCTTTTAATGTAATTATCCAGTATATGATATACAATTTTTTAAGAGAGCAATAGCATATTTTATCCACAAATCACAATGGGAGCTGGGCATATTGGCTCATACCTGTAATTCCAGCACTTTGGGAGGCTGAGGCAGTAGGATCACTTGAGCCCAGGAGTTCAAGACCAGCCTGAGCAACAGAGACCTCATTCTCTTAAAAAAAAAAAAAATTAGCCAGGCATGGTGGTGCGTGCCTATAATCCCAGCTACTTAGGAGGCTGAGGCAGGAGAATCACTTGAACC